GTTTTCTTGCACGAATAAGAACAAGTTAATTGAAAACAATGTCGACGTTTGTTTTACAGAGCTTCTCGGATTCTCCCAGGGTAAGCTGCGCACGCTGCATGCATAAGCTTTGGTGATTACTAACATTTTTATCCAGTTGCGATCTCGTTTGTTATCTACGTAATTCTGTCTCTGTTTACCGTCTACAGACGTTGATGCGTATTTAGATGAACAAGGTACGTTTTCACCATATAAGCTAGCACACACATACATGGGTTAGCGTCCTGCCCGTTCAACGGGTTTACGTGGTTTAATTTTGGTGATGGGGTTTTTGAGACGCACACACGCACCATGCACGATTTCTGTTTTTTTAAACGTTTTTCGTGAAATCAGAATAGCGCCTCACAATAATTTTCAAAGTTAAATGCAGAATTAACTGAACTTCCTAACTGTGTCGCCAAATTTGCTACCAAGAACGCATCCATTTGGCTGAACTAATATTGATTCGTTAATTTATGTGAAGCTAGGTTACGGATCTCGAAATTGGACTGTCAGGCATTGTAAATACTCTGGATGGGTAAATTATCTGCTTGAAAAACAAGATATTCCCTCGATAAGACCAACAAAGAAAAGAAATTGGTGGACAGATGCGCGTAGAAAGACTGCATGCCACAACAGCGATGCCGGATAGATCCGACACGGCCTAACCCTTCTCAAGTTGATGTTGTATAGTTCTGAAATTAAGTTTAGTTTTCCAAGCAATTGTCAAAACTATTCTTGTCATGCGAGTTTTGTGAAAAACGTTTTGCTTTTTAAATTGAGCTCTTACGAGCCTTCATTGCTTTGGTTTTAAAAGTTTAAATTTCTGCATACGCTTCAATAGGCGTTGGAGATTTCTATGTTACGGCTTCCTACACAACATACTGATTTTAAATTACACTGGCATATTTCATTACGAATGTTTATTAGAAAACATAAGTAATTAGGGAAGTAGCGCTCTTCGAACACACCAACTTAGATTTTCTAAGAACTTCCGGTTTTTGACTTATCAGAAAACTTAAATATCATATTTTAAACTTTAACTTTTCAAGGATGGTTAACTTGATACAGATGAATAATTAAAATTAAATTTATCCTCGACCAGTTCCAATAACAGCAATTACTGCTTTCTGAGGACCATCCTTGCACCATACATGTCATGGCACAGTTAAATTCTCAAACAAAATACAAGCTCAAAAATTCAAAGGACAAAGTAATGACGTGTTTTTCATGACGTGTTTTTCATTTCCTCGGTACTTGTTCAATGTAATCCTGTACTGATTAAGGCAGGAGCAGGCTCCATACCTGTCAAAGTCGATAGGCATGTTTGCGAACACAGTAATGATTTCGGGGCGAGTTAGCTTCTAGTTGCATCCTCTTACAGAATACGGTTGGCCTGACTTCTAGCTACTTTCCCCCACCTCGAATGCTAAATGTTGTGCTGAGCCAAAATAGAACTAATATGATTTAATTGCATGTCTGTGTGAGGCTTTAACCATTGGGATACGTGTGTGCAGGTCGTCCTTTTCAAACTGAAAAAAGCGCTCGCGCGGTCCACTGGTGCATAAAAAGAGTAAGATAAAAAACGGCTAAGTTTCCTTTGCGTTTAGGCCTACAGATATTACCGATGCAAACGAAAAAAACACGTTTTGGGAGGAGCGAGGTAACTATCCGAGGCTAAGCAGTGAGATCAAAAGACACGTTAATACTACTTCTACTAAGACAGGAAAGGTTTGGAGTTGTTAGTCGGATCCAGTGCAACTAACCGGAGCTCGCACCGAAGCAGCACAGCCCAGCAGCATCTGAACAGGTATTAGATCGCAAAGAAGAAGATGGTGCGATCATTGGGACACCTTTTTTATTTGTCTGAGACAAATGAGTGCGCTGATGCGTAGATGTTTGATCAAGGTCCGCGTCGAAAAGTGTTCTGCTTAAATCTTTCCTTCGGGCCACGCACAC